TTCTTTGCAAGATCAATAGCCTGAAATATCAGAAGATTAAAGATGTATCGGATACCAAAAACACCAAACATTGTTTTAATTACTCAAATAGAAAAAAGCTGGATAATTTTTACTTGCCTATGAAGAATGTTCTACTTAAGCCAAAACAAATTCTTTACCAGTTCTTTTAGAAAGTCTGGAAGTATTTAAGTTTCTCTCCTCTGCTTATGAGACAATGCCTGTTAGTGAGCCAGTGCTACATGGGATAATACTTTTCTTTTGTAACAACCTGTCATTCAGCTGGTCAGTAAGCTAATTAAGTATGTTTGTTAATTGTTTCAGTAATACGGTTTATTAAGTTTGAGGTTTCTTACTCTGTTTGTCGCGTCTATAGGGAAAAAAAAGAAGCAACAATCCAAGGTCTGTGCCTGTTGAATAGTTTACAGAAAGTTAAACAGTGTATCCATTCACTTCTGCTATTGTGGTATGTGAAATGCAGTCTTTTGAGCTAAATCCCAGAGTCATTAGCTATTAACTCAGGCAAAGCACCTATCAATTTCAATCATAGTTCATCATGTGACAATCATTTATTTATGCCTGTATTGTGGTTTTAACTAACAGCTCGTGACAGGGATTTGTAGATGGGTTACACAGGAGTGGGAGTCCCAGGAAATGTGGTCCCTCGGCCAGAATCCTCTGTGGTTACCCTGAGACTAATTGCCAGACTGGGCTCTCTACCACACTTTACAGGGAGCTGAATAAATTCCTTCTACTGCCTTAGTAGAGGGATTTCAAGGATATAATCCTTCCTTTTCTCTGGCATTGGAAAACACACGAAACCCTGGTGGCAGTGCACAACTCAAGTATTGTTAGTGCTCCAAGACTGTGGAGATGGGGCAGAGGCTAGAGTCTGGACAGAGGAACAAAGAGGTGATGTGGCTTGGGGTGGCCTTTGTGCACCAGCACAGGGTCAGCCAGAATTTGAGTGTACCAGTGGGAATATTCAGTACTTCCTTCAGTTACATAAAATATTGGCATAGAAGCCCAGGCACGCACGGGGAAAAATACGTGGATTCGAAACAATACTTTCAGTGTCTGTGAGTGCTTTGCCCAGGAAGAACTTTGTTTTATAGCAGTACCATGTTGCTGCTGCTGAGCCTCTTTCAGCACAGTTGAGCTTTTTTGTACCAATCCTTCATGACTTCTTTGCCTTCTGAACCAGTAAGAATTATCTCCAAATCATAAGCTTGTGACAGATGTATCATTCATGAAAATCTGTTCTCTGTCTATGAGGAGTTTTCCAGAAGCCCTCAGGAATACAGGCTAGATTAGTTTGAAATGTGTGTGGATGATGGATAGAAAAGTGTAAGCCTAAGCTTAGGGAATGGCATCGTCTTCATGCATAGTGCAAGCTGTGTGCTTGTGTTTAGCTTCCCTGCTTATTTTAGGCTCATACTTGTGTTGGAGTTGTGTTGAATGGTGAGACAAACTGTAAATAGTTATGGATTCCCCCAAGTGACTTTTCCAGTTACTTGTGACTCAGAGACTGGAACAGACTGTCTGAAGAACTAATGAGTTCTTCTCAGTAGTAGGAAGTAAGACTTCTGAAGTGGATAGAAATTGCCTAAAAGTTTTTGAGACCTGTAGAAAGAGAGCTTCAGTTCATTGATGCTTAGGGTTTGTGAAAGGGAGGAGCATCTTAAGAAATTGTAGCTGGCTAGGAAACAGTTTGTGCGGTGCCATGAGTGTTGAAAGTATCTGAAGCACTATTAGATGTACCAGAGAAATCAGAGTTTATTAGCCATAGAAGAACTCTCTGTTTCTGCTTGGCTTAGGACTTTGCAGAGCAGTCATTTTTTCTGATGCATAGCTCCAAAATTACACAGATCTTACACCACTAGGAGCCCCATGTGGCAGTTGCTTTTCCTCGCTGGCCAGTTTCTACAATGATCTGGACGTTAACCAAATTATCATTGATTCTTCAAGCTTTAATTCACCATAGAGGCAGTGGGAGCAGCAACTTTAATCATTGCCAGTTTTTACTGACAGGGCTACAAACCACAGTTGCCAGATGACTCAGACTTTGGCATCCTTATTTTTGCTCATGGTTTTTATATGGAAATTTGAAAAAGTTATGACCACAGAGATCATGATTTTCAGTAGAGTGCAAATGCTGTAGCACCACACCTAAACTAAAAGCGGGCTTTAGTCCATCTTCCTCCTCCTTTCTTTTTTTTTTTTTTTCCTTCTTTGTTTTATACGCTTTTAATTTACTACTGTTAAATGACACATTTTCTATTCTGGGGAAAAGAAAAAAAAAAGGGCTAGTTCATGATGGCATATTGGCTCTCATGTCAGTGGAGTCTTGCCTTGACACACAGGAGCTGCTGGGATGTGTCCTTGAGGCTTGTGACCTTGCAGAGGAACACTGGGTGTTAGGTAATGTGCCTCGCTGCCCAGATGCTCCATTTCTGAGATCATAAGGGGAAGTGCAGCACCAGCCTTGATTCCTCCCACTTCTTTTTAGAGAGATGAGAGTTGTAAAACTGAGGCGCAAGGTGGGGGGAGAAGAGTTGAGTGCAAATTGCTTTAGCTGACTCTTACTAACAGCCACAGTATACGACTTTAGTAAGTGGCTTCTCTTTCTTTGAAGAAGCAGTACCAGCTCTAGGAGAAGACTTGAGCAGCTGTAATTGTAAAGTAAAACTGAGTAGCTGTGATTATAAAGCAGAATGGTCTTTCCTAGAGCATGCTCACCTGGGATGTGGGTTGAGAAACCAGCATTGTGTAAAGACGTAATATGAATTCTCTAAGGTTTTAGGGCAGCCACTTGGAGGAGACATTATGAGTACTCTCCAGTTGAAAGATTTTTGAGCTTCTGCGAACTGCAGCAAGTTCTGTATATCATCTAGCTAGAGGCAGTTGAAAGAGCTAGTTCCAGTTTTGAAAACAGCCGAGCTGCTGCAGCAGAGGGTGTTGTGCAGAATTCCCTGTTTGCACATCTTGACAGCTTTGTGAAGTGCTGGGCCAAGAGTTGCTTTTGGAAACAGAGCGAACTCTAACTGACTGATCAGGAATGGTCAATCTCATACTAACCCTGCCAGTGCCCAGGCCAGGGGAGCGCAAGACAGCCTGAAAGACACGTGTTGACACAGTGTAAATCTGGGCCTCAATCTGAAAGGTGGGATTTGCTTTGATACTTTATTGTTTTAACACAACCAAATACCATCCACGCCAGGACTGTTTCTCACCCCTTGGAACATGTGAAAATTTGTGACAAGACCCTCTGCAGATGGTAGTGTGAAAATAGACTCCTAAAGTTACACAATAACTGAGCAGTCTCTTTTAACCTGTTTGGCCACTCTAGTCTTTACGTTGTTAATGTGTCGCACTAAAATGTGGCTTAAAGTGCAAGTGGTGTTACCCCATATAAGGGTAGAGGTGAACCGTGCAGAGGTGAGCCGTAACTTCGATAAGTTGCTCTGGTGCTAAAAGCTCCATTTCATGAGAGAGGCTGGGTCAGAGGATGGTCCTGGCTGCTCACACATCCCTTACCTGACAGATGTCTAAGCTTCACAAGCAGCAAGTGCAGAGCTGCTCCAGGTTGCACATTACAGTCTGGTGTTTTAACAGTGAACTGGTGCTGCTTTCAGTTTGTTGCTGAGGTGTTTCGGGAGGCGCCTGGGGAGTATCTGTGGAAAAGGAGCAGAGAAGATGGCTGGGATGATGCCTTGCCAGCCCTCACCGTGCAAAGAGGGGACCCTCTGATGAGTCAGAACCCTGACGTTGTGGGTTAGCCTGCTACCCTGTTAGCAGTCACACTGTGAAGCTACACAGAGTAACTCTGTACTTTGAAAACATCTTTGACTCAGGAGTGTCAGTATGATTAAGAGCACACTGGAAAAAATTTGGGAAGGTTGGAGGAAGCCGTCAGTGCCTGTGCCTTCAGCATGCATCCCCGACTGCGGAGTGACGGGGTTACCAGCTGAAGTGAAAGCAACCACAAGGCCACAGCCTGAGCCGGCTATCTTGAGCTGAAAGCTAAGCAGCAGTGAGCATTTGGGTCAGAGGTTTATATGCAGTCAGGAAGGGAAGTTATATCAGGGAAGGTCTATTCACTGCGTACTGAGGATTCACACTTCAGCACATTTGAATTGTTTGCTGCAGTACCTATTTGTATCAGCATTTGCTCTGAAAGTGTTACTAAGTGCAGCTATTGTGCACTTCTGTTGTGCTTTATGCACTTCCATTTTATACCTAATTGATGGGCTGAGGTGTATTTTTGTCTGCATCTCAGAAATACATTTAAGCTTTCTTTACCACGCAAAATGGAAGGAAATTGCAAAACTCAAGAACATAACTAAGTATTTTGTAAGATTCTGAAAATTAGTATTCTTACTAATAAAAAGCATAAAGAATATTCTTGGTGAGAAGAAAAAAAGGAATATTGACCTCAGAAATTATTGCAAGATTAATTTAAATATTTGTATGGAGAAAGACACTTGTTTGGAATAACACAGACATCACTAACTTCAGTTTCAGTCATCTTATCTGTGTTACCTTCTTTAGTATCTGGACAGCATGATAATTTGGCAATTTTCCGTAAGTGGTCATAAACATTAAACGTAAGTTGGCAGGAAGTTGAGGCTTTTTAATGGGGAATAACATTATAGAAATCACAGTCAAACCTTTCGTCTTTCTTTAAGAGACTAATTAGAAACATATTTGAGATAATTTATATAGCTTTTGAAAAAGTGGACGAGCACATTTTTATGAGGAAAACTCTAGGGAATAGGTGCCAATGGCGAGTTACTACCTTGGAAATACACTCACTCATTCCTATGACATACTGTTCTCTTCTGTTTCTTTCTCCTTCTTTTTAAGTTGACACAGGGCAAGATAATAATGTCACCTAATTTGCTCATGCCTGTGTAGAGAGCCATTGCAATGCATAGGCACTATTTAAGTTCAGCTAAGAGCTCCAGTGAATCTTCAGTGTCTCAGCAAGACATTGACCCAAGATGACTGAAAAAGAAGATTGTACTAGAAGTGAGCATCATGTACTGTCATTAACCAGAGTATTCTTTACCTGCCTATTCCAGTGTGGCAAAGCACTTCCTGGCCTTTCCAAGCAAGAAGACTGCTGTGGAACCGTGGGTACTTCCTGGGGTTTTAACAAATGCCAGAAATGTCCCAAGAAGCCGTGTAAGTGCTATTTTGTTGTTATTCTCTGGATCAGTTTATGGCGCTTTTTTCCCCCTCAAGTAGTATTTTTCCTTTTTTTTTTTTTTTTTTAAAAAAAAAAAAAAAAGGAACCTAGTAGAAAGAATATGCTATGATTTGATTAGGGACAGGTTGCAGAAACTGGAATTCTGCATGCCAGCAGAGTTACAATATGCAGGCACTCAGTGCAGCCAGCAAAGTTAACATCGTTGTGTTTTTCATCCCTTCCTCCTCCTTTAAATCAGCGATGCACTGTTGCGTTTGCTCAGTGCAGGAAGGATAATGACAATCATCTTGCCTCTTCCAAGTGGAAGGGCCTCTTTTTTTTTTTTTTTTTTTTTAAGTTTGCACAGAAATGTTAAATTATGGAGGCGCCAGTTACTACTTGGAGAGAATGCACTGACCTCTTGGGACTGCAGATGAACTTTCAAGTTTGAAGCCAAAGTTTTCCAGGCTCTAAATTGTCAGCTACGTTTTTTTTGCTCTGTTTTTGAAATATCTTCCTCAACAATTAGGCAACAACAAAGACTTTCTTCAGTCTTCTGTTACGATTGACATCATATTACAATGAGGAAGAAATTTCAAATTATTTACATGATAGGTGAAGCTAGCCTCTTAAACTTTTTGTGAATGACGTTGTTCAGGAATAGTAATACTCCTCTGTCATGTCATATTTTCATCACTAAATGAAAGATGAGGAAAGATAATGTAATATCTGTTTTGCAGATGGAGTGGACTTGCATTTAGTGGGCCAAAAATAGTGCAAGGAGTTGCAGTCATTCTTATCTAGGTCTTCTAGGCCCCTGTTATTCGTACAGATAGCAACGCTGGAAACATCTTCAGTGTTTGATTTTTTTGGAAGCATATTTTTGCCCGCAAATCTTAACGTGGACATAAATACAATTCCAGCAGAAAATCTACTGTTACTCCTACTTCTCTGACTCCTCCTTCCACGGGAGAGTCTGATTTAAATTTATACTGACTCAGTCTGATCTGCTAGTTTATGAAGCATTTAAATTTTGTGTTTTGGAGTATGTTTGTCTTCTGATTTGCTTCCAAAAGAGAGCCTCCTTGGGGTCTTTGAGGTCCATAGTTAATAAAAGACTCAGGTATCTAAATTTTTATTCCTGTAGTACATAAATACAGTTTCTAACAGAGGCATGCATTCTGTATTGGTATATGAATTGTGAAATGTGTCCTGATTTTGTAACAATTTATTTATAGCTTTCTCCAAAGAAGTGGCAATTTAACTTCAACTGAAAGTTTTGTTCATCAGAAGCATGTGGGCATAGATATAGGTGTGCCATGGGAAAATCACAAAAGCCTGAAATGTGCTTCAACCAAAAACTGGTTGGAACTGGTAATACAAATTTTTGATGCCTGGTTTGAAGGGAAGCCCATGTGCTAGTTCTTCATACCTTAGGTAAAACACTGGTCGTCTCAGCCTGGAATCCACAACAGACAACGTGTTGATGAGGCAGCTGCTTAATGCCAACATGCTCGGCATGATGTTAAGAGGAAGCAAACAGGGAAACACTAGGACAAACCATGTCTGAAATCCTGGTATCCAGATGCTTCCTAGGTGGGTGCAGAGAAGTGCCTGAACTCACCCTAAAACCTCTCCTGAAGGGAAGTCCACCACCCTTTTTTCAAAGCACTGAGTAAGAAATATTTTTTGAAATGCTAATGAGATGAGCACTGTCCTTTATAATAAAAGCTTAATTGCTCAAGATGGGGCAATTCATTGTGTCTGCCAAAAGAATTTCTAATCTGCATTTTATACCTATGAGGAGATGCCCTAACCCGTAAAATATAGAAACAATTCTTGGAACAGGACTGGGAACTCAGTCTCTTTCCCAGTGTCCTTAATTACTTATGGTATGAGTCATGCTCACTCCTGCTTTCTGGCTTAATCTGGAATTCTTTTTTTGAGTGTAACTGTATGATTTCAAGAGGAGACAGAGAATGTTGCCACTTGGAATAACCCAGTCCTTGTGATTAAAGGATTCCTGGAAAGTAAGGGTTTGTGTCTCCTAGACATAATGGCATACATTTCTCATCTTTCTAGGTGGGAGCTCTCACTGTATAGTAGTGTTTTAAGAAGGGAAGAGGAGATGGGTGCACTGTCTGTTTTCTCCAGATTAAAATACAGTGTTATCTATCACTACATTATATCAAGAGTATGATTTGGTAGGTGTATGCTTCAGAAATATTCACTGAATCTGTCAGGAAGAGGTATATGTAATTTTTTCGTCTAGATTTGATTTAGGAATAAGTTAAGCATGATGCTATTCAATCATGCCATGACTTACGGCAATTCTGCATGGGTGCAAATGGTGAATTTTCAGATTTCTAAGAACTTAAGGTGATAAATTTGGAGTGTTGCAGGAGTTTAAGTTTTATAGATGTTAAATTTGAACTTAGGCACACAACTTGTTTTGGATCTGGGCCTAAGTGTCCTTTGGGCATAGGTGTCAAATTAAGCCTCATGTCAGTGTCAAAGTATTATGCTTCCATAGAGCAAACAATTTCCAAAGATAAATATAAATTTATTATAAGATTTAATGAAAGTGTGGAGTGCCTGCTTAAGGATTTATATTTCATCAAGTTTGGGTTTTTTTTTTTTGGTACAATAATAAGAATGTTTCAGTGGTAAAAAGAGTATGCATATATATTTATATATGTGTATATATGATATTGGATGGAAAAACTTGGGAGTCAAGTAAACTATTAGTAAGTTATCAGTTAAGTGGTGTCCATAGTAGTGTCTCAGCAGGCAAAGCTAGTCCCACATTAGTCCTATGTCATTTTGACCTGTTCTGATACTTCTCTAAATTGGTATTATCCTTTTTATTGTAGATGTTTTGGAAGCAAACAGACTTCCTTTTGGTTTTATGCTTCATAAAATTCATTTAAGATTGACCTGGTTTTACAATAATATGTAATCAGGTTGCATTTAATGTGATCTTCTGCAAAACCCACTTCAGCAAAATATTTAAGCGTATACTTCAGTCTCATTAGCAGGCACTTTTCTTCTCTCTTCAGTCAACCACTTAAGGATGTACTTAAGTTTGCATGTGTCTTGTTTCCATGGACTTAAATAGGGCTTTGTCACTTTGTAAAGATGTACTTACGTATTTTGGGTAATAGCCACTGCTCTGTCAGGGCTTCTGTCTTGTTGCAAAGTCAAGTGCCTTGGCCTGAGACAGCTCCCATGTCTGTAAGTTTATGGGTTATTCAGTATTACTGAAAAATAGAAGAAGAAATTTTGGAACAGATCTCCATTTTTGAGGGCTTTTACTGAAGACAACTTTTAAGACAAAGTGCATTTCTGTGTTACATGGGGAATGTTATGATTGTTCAGGCTTCTTGCTAACAGTTAATAATTACAAACAAGATGTCCAAATGAGTAAAGGCTAAGTAATGTAGGACTCCATCCAGCTCCCACATGGATCACTAGCCATCACTGAATAAGCTCCTTACTCTACTGCAACCTGCTTACATTGTTGCTCTTTGTAGAAGGAAGAAAACAGCTGCTAGTAAGCTGCTATTTCCTGTTCAGTGTGGGAGTAGGAGGATGAGGAGGGAGGGAGAGGTTGAAATCTCTGACCTCACTCCACCACTGCACTTTCTAAAGCAGCTGAGTCACCCTGGAAGGGAAAATGCGTTGCAGCACTGGCCTGGCATAGCTTATGGGCTGGTCTCCATCCACAACTTGAAGAGCTCTGCTCTTCCTCTTGTTTTCCTCCTAGGAAAATTAGGCTGTACTGCAGGGTACCATTCCTGCACACAAAAAGTTAGAGAGACTCTCTTGATTTTAGTGTGAATTGAATCAGATCTGTAATGGCAAACACAGGTAAGTTAGGACATAGTCAGTGCAATTACGAATCTGACTCTGCCAACATGAGCATTAGGAGTTTCACTAACATTTTTGGGGACCAGGAATAGGCTAATGCATTGCGCTTTTGAAAATCTCACCTTAAATTTCAACTGTTTTTAATATTAACATTGTGAAAAGATTGGAGCTACCTTGAAAATAAATGTGTAGCTGCCACATTTTTGGTGAGAGATGAAATTTTCAAATTCTAATTTGTGTTAAAATGGTTGTAGTCAATGTAAAGATGGAATAGTATATGTTCAAAACTGTAAGAACATTGTTGCTGTATTTTGACCTGTACTATTTTTGTGTTTTAACCATTTTATCACTTTAAGCAATCTCTAAGGAGAATCTTAATGTTCTAATTAAGCAATTATTTTAAATAATTCACAGCAACTTGAAATAAAACTATGTCACTCCAGAAGCTGCTCAAGATCATCACTTAAATTTTTCCAAAGAATAGGAAAAGCATTAGAACTAATGAAAATAATTTTTTTTTTCTTTTTTTTTCCCACCCTTATAGCCAACCAGTTACCAGTTTTAAAATAAGCTGCAGGGATAAATGTGCAATTCAGGCATTATATGTGAAGTGAAGCCAATTGAAAACATTATCTCTCTCAGTTGTTCTGTCTTACTTGACAGTTTATATACAGTAAAGATGGAAAGTAATGTGTTTGGTTTTTGGTGGTTTGTTTTTTTTTTGCCTGCTGAAAATTTAGAACACTTTTAAAGGAAAACAAAAGATCTGACCAAATGTAAGGTATCTCTGTTGTAGCATTCGAATTATGAAAAACTCTCTTGACTCTTATTAAAGGCACTTGTGTGATCATAGTGCCAAAAGTTTAGTCCTGTATGTTTAATAAAGTATTGGGCTTTGCCAAGAGGTTAGCTTTTAGTGCATAACCATACAAAGAAGTTACTGCTCTCATTTATGATGTTATAACAGTTTAAGAATCAATAAACAGTTTTCTGTAGTCTCAAAGGCAACCTTAAATGGAGGAAAGAAACAATAAATAGAAATAAAAATCTAGTTAACAGAACACTTTCTATTTTGGCAAAATTGAACTCAGTCTGTATAACTCAACTGTTGTGTATAACACAACTCAGTGTTGTTATGCCCTTGACAGTTTACACCGATCAGTCAATAAGTCACAGTCTTCTAAAATTCAGCAACTTTGTTAGGTAAATCACAAATGTGCTTTCTTCTTCTTTTCTTCATTTGCTTCTATTTCCTATGTATTTCAAATATTTTTTAATTCATTGTGGCACAAGAAATGGTACCCAACAATTTGGCTTAACACTGAAGATACTTTGCTTTCTAAAGCTGCTTTCAGTTTTAAAACCATTGAGTTTCCATCATGAATCTTCAACTTTATCTTTTCCCAACATGATATTTATAGCTGGTTTGGGAAAGTAATTATTTAAATATTTGAGAACAAGTAGGATGAAAGATAATTTCCTGATTTCAAAGATTTCTTTTTTTGGAAAAAAATACAAATTTGACTGGATAACTGAAGACTTAAGTGGTATACATGTGGAAATAGATGGAATTAAGATTATCTGTACAACCTTCAATTTTAATTTCTTGACCTTTTATGCTTAACCATACATCGTAAAAAACTTATAATGATTTTTTTTTTTTATAGTTACATAATAATTTTGCTGTCAGGGTCTCTAAATAAGCATATAAATCAGCAGTATTTAACTGACATAATTTTTTTTCTTCAGCTTACCATGGATACAGTCCTATGATGGAATGCCCACAAGGCTACAAGAGGATCAATGCTACATTTTGTCAAGGTACGATAGTGCCCACAATTGTTTGTGTTTATTTAGACTACCAGTTTTCTGTGACAGGTTCTTTGATATTTATGACTTAGATGAATGGATCCAGTCCATTGATTTGTGTTTGGGAAAAAATGTTGAGGCTACTTTTAACTCTTCGCAAATATTGGCAACTCCATAGAGTGGTTTTTTTTGCTCTGGGGCAAAAAACTTTTAAAACTTTTATGTATACTTTCATTTTCTTTGATGATGTATAAAGATGACTTCATAAGGATTCATTTACTTTGTTTTTCAGTAGAAACACATTGTTCTGTTAGTTCTTTTGCTAAACAGTGTACCTGCAGACTTAATCAGTTAAGTCAGGTGAAACTAGCAATAGAGAATAATTTCTATAATCATGGAAGTATAGAGTAACCAGAGAACAATTCTTTTGGACTTAAGAGGTTAGGCACAACAGTACTGAGAACAGCCAGCTAATGTCGCTGGCAAGTGGAAATGAAAAACCATGCGTACCTGGCTGCCATGTAAAGCAGTGACCCACGTACTTCAAGAATGTGCGTAGTGCAGGTGAGGATGTATGGAGTTAGATACTGCATAAGTACTGTTACTCCAAGATTATGCCCTATATCTCCTGGCTGTAAGCACAGAAGTTATCAAAACATACAGGGTTGTGTGATGTGCATGATCATGCAGCTCCACAGAAAGGCTTGGGGCGTTTAGATTCTCCTGGCCTATGGCGTCTCTATCTGACGAAGCTGAACAGATGACCATAGACATATGCTCATTCTTTCTGTGTATCTTGGAGTATTGAACAGAGGTGCCAGATGAGGATGTAGGAAAAAGCTTAATTACTTGTCCAAGTTGCTTGGCACAGCTCAAGTGAACAAGAGAAAGAAGCTCTGCAAAGTTGGGAGCAATCCTGCAGCGGTGCTCTGGAGAGAGATTTGGGAAGGAAGGGAAGAATGAGTTCAAGTGAGGCTGACACTGACCTGTGGTCAGGTTTTTTAGTCATTGTTGACACTGCAAGGCTAAAAGAGGTACCAACAAATAGTAGTGGTGGTGGAGAGAAGGAGAAAATGAAAGAATAGTTGGCGTTAGAGGATATATATAGGCACTTTGGAGATAAAATTAATTTTATTTAACTGAAAACTTTCAGTTAGCATGTAGATGAAGGAACATGCACAGCCAGCCACATAAAGAAATTTTACCAACCAAAAAAATACAGTTTATAGAGCACTAAATAGAAACATCCTGCTGCTTCCACTGCTGAGGGAGATGCGAGCTGTTATCTGAAAGTATAGGCACTTGAGCTGATCTGCTGCTCGGTTCTCTACCTAGTGGTTTACAGGCTTGCAGGGTAGGGACATTTGGAGGATTGTGAGAGGAAATTGAGTTCGGTCAAAATAGTAAAAAACTAAATGGAGGAGAGCTGCAAATTGCATCTCAAGAGCCTGTTCCCTGATCTGCAGTGAAAGACTGTAGAGTCCTCTTAATAAATAAAAGGGATGGGGAGATGTTGGTGGCAACTTATGGGGATTGCAAAGTGAAAAGGTGAAGGAGGCGAGTGTAAGGCATAGATGGGCCACCATTTCACACCTCAGATTAAACACGTAGGTTGTGCATATATTTCAGTAAGATGTTTCCAGCCATTTTGAAAGAGATTGTCTTATTCCGCATGTTAGTTACGAGGTTTTTCAGAGTCTGCAAAAGGAGGATTTCTAACTTTGAGCACAGAAAGTGTCTGGAAGATGCCATGGTGCATTAGTACCATCATGCATCCCTCTGAACATGGTCCAGGAGAGACAGGAGTTTCTGGTGTCTCCAGTAGCTGTGTGCAAACCCCACTGTATGCACAAAGGTTTCCTAGACAGCAGCAACCCAGCAGGCATTTAAAGGCGAGTAGGGCATTCAGTTTTTTTCAAGGGGTTGTTCCTAGGTGTTGGCAAACCTTATTTCATGGAAACTAAGATCCTTAATCAGGGGCTACAGACAGTTAAAAAATGGTCTGGTGCTTGTGAAGGTTGCCAGAAGTAGGTCAGGAGGTGTTTTGCTGAGCAGTGACTGGCTGATAGAGAGGGAGAACATATGTCTCTGGGTAGGAGCTTAAGAGGGAGCTAAGTCCTGCTGTGGTAGTGTGCAGAAATCGATCCATGCCTGGTAGGCTAGTCATTGTTTGTTGTACTGAGTTTTGATAGTTTTTCCCCCGACACATTTTTGTACTATATAACTAATACTGCAAGAAATACGAGGCTTTAAATAGTTTGTTTTATTACTGCTATCATTATCCCAGAAGAGAGAGCACTGTAGACTCTAAATATAACTTGTAGTTGATACATGGAAACTTATAACCTAGAGTTTAATCAGACAATGGGAGTCAGATTATCCCACCAGGAAGTAAACTGTTGATGAATTGAGGATGGGGCAATGTCTTAACTTTCTAGAGAAGACAGAAGTGGTGACTGCTGCAGGTTCCTCATATTGCCTTATCGAGGCTTGGGTGGCTTCTCCGTAATTTACTCACCAGCACACTCCAAAAAGGAGGTACAAATAAGGAAGGAACTGAGAGAAGGAATAACCATGAAACAAAGCCAGGATGAAATTGAGTCCTACTGAAGTGAGTAACAAGACTACCATTTTCTTTCAGAGGATCAGGATTTTGACCTCTGTTTGAATGGTCATCAGGAAAGCTAGCTTCATATGTGAAAGCTGCTGGCAGGGTGTATTTCAATTCTGAAATGGTCATTAGCATGTCCTTCTCAATGGGTCAGGCAAAAGTGTCCTGTTTGTGTTTATCTGGATCAGACGTGCTTTTCTAGAAGAGAAGAGGACAGGACTGAGGAAGAAATGAAGAAACAGCTGTCCATATCACAAACATGGAGCGAAGCAACAGCAATAGCTGTGAAGAGAAAACTGTTTAAGCTGCTGGCGGGGGAGTATTCGTATTCTTGTAATAATCCTTACAATGAAACTGGAAAGGAGTGGCACAGCATGTCCATATGCAAGTATACATTTTAATTAGATTATTCTTTGCTGAAAGGTTGTGCATGCTGTGTCCATGCTCAGAAAGGGCCAGCATTGCCAGACCAAATAGTAATGGGGATATATTTCTGAATCCCTGCCTGCAGCTAAAAGAGATCACTGTTTTCACCTAGATATTGTCCAACTTTCACTGCCTTTGAAAACTCAGGCCTAAAAGCCTAATTAACCTTTTGTTCTACATTGTTTTTGCAGTCAAAAGCCTCCTTGGTTTACAAAGCCTATGTAGTATTAGTGTGATTAATAACCGGGTCCTGATTTTTTTCCTTTCAAGTGAGTGAACTAATGTAATGAAACATTCTTCTCTCTAATGTGTACGTAGGACAACAAAGAACCATCTGTGGGTATGCTAATTCGAACAGTTTAGTGTAATTGCTGTCAAGAAAGCCCCCCCCCCCCCCTCAGTAATTATCTTTTCAATGGGATGATTTATTGCATGTACACACATGGATGCCCTAAGGCTGATATTAAAGCCAAAATGCAGCATATCAGAGTTGCAACTTCTTTGTCAGAATCCACATGCAATGCTAATTTCTGGTTTCCTGTTTAGAATTATACTTACTGTTTCCTCCTTCTGCTAATGGTTTTCTTGGAAAACTGAAATAGAATGAAAAAAACAGCTGGTGAAAAGGTTGAGTTCCTTTTTCAGGAAACTAACATACTGCCAATAGAGCACTTTAAAAGTCTTATCTTGAAGAACTGGAAAAATACCTGAACACTTGTTGGTTTTCGATGAAGTAAAAAGTTGTGCATGGAAGTTCTTGAAAAGTCCCCATATGCCTAAAATCAAATATATATGAGCTTGAAGAAACTAGTGCTTGTATGTTGATGGATCAAATTCTGTAATCATGTGCTCTGGGGACTCAAAGTTTATTTTAAACCACGATGAAGCTTTTTTCACTTAGAATATACCTTAGAAGGTACATTCTGCCATCCTACATTTGTCCCTAAAATACAGTAATAAATTTGTTTTCTCTGCATGTTGTATATATATTTTATTACTTTTAAGTAATAAAAGAGCTTTGCTTCAAAAGAAATGCTATTTAATGTTACTTAGCTACTAAGTTAACAACCTTCTTTCAAATAAGTTCTTTTATGATGATCATACTGAGAAATAAGTATATCTACAGAAACTGGGCTGGGTTGCTGTTTGGACATTGATCATGTGTTTGAAAAGTGTGGCTCTGCAAACTTGCGTTCCAGTAAATTCCATGCAGAAGTACAAAACGAGTTGGATTGATTTCTCCTGCTCCAACTCTGTTAGATCAGAAGAAATCAGTGGGTCATTTCTTAGAATAAGCAACTGTTTTTTCTGTGATTTTTAAAAATATATGTTGCAATAGTTTCATTAGCAACCAAACTTTGTTGTTTGTTTCTTTTACCCCTTGTTGTTCTCGCTAATCAGGTTATTATTGAAACAATCAACTATAACAGAGGTAGTAAAATCTGGATATTATATTTTTCTTAGAACTGAGGATATTAATAGTGGTTAACAATATAGCTATAGCAGAAACAGCTGGAACAGTATTTTCAGTGTTGTTAGTAGGTATAGTTGTAATTGATTTTCATAAAAAGAATAAAAACTGATGCCTGCATATTGGGCCAGTCAGATGGCACTCCCAGTGAAGCCTAGCGTATATCTACCAGAATGAGTCAAATTTTCACAAATGAAACATAAGTTATATATCTTCCAGTCTTAATTTGCAACATCAGGTATTGTGCATATTAAAGCACTTACTGCATGAAAACATCTGTCAAGGTAGATATTACTAAATAACATTTAATGACTGACCACTAGGCCATTTCTAATTAAGAAGTTGCTCAGTACTTTGACAAATTCTAATTAGTATATAATTGATCTAGAAGGCTGGCTTTGCTTAAGTGCAGTGAAGTGTCTTAAGTGTGTGCGGTTCTTATTGAAAGGCAAGTTGCTCGCTTTGCATTAAAAGGAGATAAACGTTTTCTGTTAAGTTTTATTA